GGGCACCTAAGCTTACATCTCAGTATTACCATTTAGCTTACTTTCAATTTTGTGATACACAAACTAATCTTATTAAGGTCAAAAGCCTAAATAAACTATTGTGTTTTTTATCAGTTCCTTAACTTTTTTCCTACATTACTAAAGGGAATGGCTATTTATGTCCATTTCCCTGAATTTTTCAACCTATACTGGCCAACCCCTACCTCTAGCAGCATTGTATTTACCAATCTACTTAAACTCAAAACTCAAACTCACTGCCATCAGGTTTCAACTCATAGCAACCCTAAAAGACAGGGTAGAACTGCTTCTGCCACTGTGACTCTTTATGGGAGTAAAAATCGTCTTTGTTCCATGCACAGGCTGATAGTTTCAAACTGCTAACATTGTGGTTAGCTACCCAATATGTAACCATTAAGTCATTGGGGCACCTTAGAGACCTTCAAAAGTAAATGCACATGTCAGGTAGTCCCTTGTCAAGTGTTTCCTTCGCCTGTTTTAAGGGCTTGATTTGTTCCTTGTGTATATAAATAATCAATATAGCATTATGATTTACTTTAGATTATCTAAGCCATCTTCAACAGACCAAGAGGTAAGATGAAATCAATAAACATTTGACAATGTTTTCTACCAGTCTCTTTAGTCTTATTCACTTGTGATGTTTCACTTCAGCCATAATTTTTTAAACACTCATTTAAATAAACCTAATAATCAACTAAGGAGTCTGTGGGTGTCGGAAACAGTGAACTGATCGACAACTAGCAGAAAGTTTGGTGGTTCAAGCACAAACAGAGGGGTCTCTGTGGAGCGAGTCTACTTGACACACCTGAAGACGCCAAGAGTTAAGAAGACTCAATAGCAACTAACAACATGACAACTTCATGTTTTGTTGTACAGTTTTTCCTTCTACTGGGTCATTTGAAAGGAGCGTTGGTGGCATAGTGGTTATGCACTGGGCTGCAATCCATCAAGTCAGCAGTTCAAACCATAGCCACTCCTCTGGAGAAAGACCTAGCGAAGAGTCACAGCATAGAGTCAGTTTCCGAAGCTCACAGGGTTCATTCTATCTTTGTCCTAGAGGGTCCCTATGAGTTGGCATCCACTCGGCCAAAGTTAAGTTTGGTTTTGGGTTCATCTGATAACACCTCTCTAACAAACAGGGGTCTTCTTACAAATAACTGTTGGGAATGTTGGTGTTTACAAAGTTTAAATGAATTCCAGCTAGACAATTCTCCTGCAGGTCTTGGACTGCTTGGGTATATTAACGCTTTTTGGGGGGGAGGGGGCATGTGAAAATAAGGCAGTGTGCATTTATCCAGATAACAAATTGTATCACCATGGCTAATTTACATGTCTTTGTAAATTAAATCACAAGCTCTGTGAAATCCAACACTAGTCATCTTTGTATCTTCAACATGGCATATAGTAAGAGTCCAGTAAAGTACAAGCGGACTCAATGAAAGTTACAGCACTGAGCAATCTGACTTTAAAGTACAGTACAGCAATGCCACTTACCTGTGAGATCCAGAGTTCTGTCCACGAAGACCACCGATGCCCTGCCCGAGGCAGTTTTTCTCCTGTTCTTGGCAGGGGCATAATTGGCAAGGTCTGCAGCGATGATCCGACTGAGTGAGCCCACAGCAAAACACTCCTCCCTTACCCCTAAGTGTTCACACAGAGAACTGAGGCCTGACACCAGGCAGCGGATCTGCAGCGTCAGCTCAGGGGTCAGGGCAGGCCCATCCACGTCAGCCAGGCTTCCCAGCCTTCTCTTGTCGGGCCGGGCACTGTTGAGGAGATGCACATCCTGGGGTAGCAGTGGGAAAAGGGACGCAAAGGATGGAGTCAAGGCAAGGTGGGGAGCAACGGGGGCGAGCAGCAAGGGGACATATAGCACCTCAGCCGTGTAGTTCATGTTGCCCATCCATTCACACAGCTTCTCCTCCAGCTGCTCAAACACCGGCTGCTGGCCCTCCAGCTCGGCCGCCGCCGCCGCTGGAACATGGTTAGCCGTGAGGTGGACAGCGTGGCTCACAGCTGTGACCACCACGCAGTACTGAAAATGACTGCGGCGGATGATGTCCCTGAGCGTCTCCACGGTCCGGCCTTTCAGCAGGCAGCTCAGCACAAACACTGCTTTGGGCTGCTTTGCTCCGCCACCAGCCGCCTGGGGTTCGAACTCCCGCAGGTGACACTCCGGACCCCCCACTGAGTCCAAGAGTCTGGTGGACCCGCAGCCCCAGTGAAGGCTCTCGGCGCAGGCGGCGTCCAGATAGACCAGAGCCCGCTTCATTTTGGCCAGCACCTGCCCCCAGCCCTGCTGGGTAAAGGAAAACACGCCCGGGGTGCTCATGGTTGCAGATTCGGAGCCTCGAACACAGGAAGGTAAAGAAACTGATCTCGGAGCTCCCGGCTTCCGGGAACTGTACGTTCTGAGACTTTGACAGTCAACACAGTACACGTGGTTCCGGTTCTGCTGACTACGCTCGCGGCGCACGGTGGTGACGTCAAAGGGAGCGGTGATTGGCTAGTGAGCTGGCCTGGGGCTCTGGGAACGAAGGGCGGGACTGGAAGGGAAGTGGGTGTGGCTGCGTGGTTGCGCATTACCGACAGAGTCAAGGGCTTTGGTTAAGGAGCTGCTACGGAAAAAAATAGAAGGGCACTGTTTTCATTTCATTTCATTTCTCACTGTTAAAAACCACTCCGTTAAATCTCAAGAATAAAAAACCTGACCTGAAATTGAATATGGGTTTGACCCAAAATAGTGAACGTACCCTGGGCCGCCAGCACAAACAAATCTTTCTCGAGAGAAGTACAGCCAACAGCAAGACTTCATCCCTCATACTTTGAATATGTTATCTGGAGGGACGTGGAGAAGGACACCGTGCTTGGTAAAGTAAGATAGCCAGCGGGAGAGAGGAACAGTATAGCAATAATGAAACCCACACCTTCCTCTGTTTCTTAAACGCTTCCCCCCCCCCCCAACTACCAGGACCCCAATATTGCCTTGCAGACCTGGTTAGACCAGATGATGCACAGCGGGACAGATGGGAATCAGAAACGCAGGGAATCTAGGACAGATGAACCTCTCAGGACCAGGGGTGACAGTGGCGATACCAGGAGGGAAAGGGGGTGAAGAAAGGGGGAATGGATCACAGGGAGCTACATAAAACCTCCTCTCTGGGGGACGGGCAGCAGAAGGGTGGGTGAAGGGAGACACCGGACAGTGTAATATAAGATACAATAATAATTTATAAATTATTAAGGGTGCATGGGGGAGAGGGGAGGAGGAAGGGAAAGGGAGGGGGAAAAAAAGGAAAATGAGCTGATTCCGGGAACCCAAGAGGCAAGCGAATTTTGGGAATAATGAGGGCAACAAATGTATAGATGTGTTTTATACAATTGATCTATGTATTGTGATGAACTGTATGAGCCCCAATAAATTGATTAAAAAAACACAAAACAAAACAAAAGAAACAATGGAAAGAGTGGGCAAAGAAGAGTGAGGAGAAAAGCCTTCTTCCAGAGGGACAGAAGTAGCCACATCTATCTGTAAGGCAGTGATGAGAGGCCGCTGGCCCAGGCTTCCTTATCCGGCACTTGATCTGAGTCCAAAGACTAGGCGACCATGATGATTTTAATGAAAAAGTGAAGTGTTAAAAAAAAAAAAGAATACTTGTGGGGATGACAGCGGAACAGGCAGTATTTCATTCTATTGAAGATGGGTACTTGCATTGTGTGCACCAGACTATGTCTTTGTGCTAAGGAAGATACACCCCACAAGGTCTCTGGCCTCACTCCATGTGAAGGAGATATCTGAGTGAGTTGAAAGATGCACTGGGAAGGCCTGCTTATCTAAAGTGTGGCCATTTGGGAGTGTCAGCGAGTGTCCATACACGCTGCCACAATGCCCATAAATGGCCCTTACAATCTTATCAGTGGTCTTCTGCGTGATCCCTCAGACCTGGGTGTCAAAGGTTTGCTGCCAGAGACCACAACAGCAATACATCCCATGCCAAAGGATCACTCCCAAGATGAGTAGTCGCAAGACGGGGAAGAACACAGCACACCATGTGGAGGATAAGAGGTAAGCCTAGCAGAGAAAGGTGGGGGTTGTCTAGGACAGTTAGCTTAAATAGGGGTGAGTCGGGGCCATCCCCTGCCCAGATTGGCTATAGCAGTCCCATAGACATTCCCAGGCATTGGTACTGGCAAAGGTAACTTTTCATGGCAGGCTGATGTGTTGGCACATTTCTGCATACCCAATAGCCTCACTGATTTCTCACATCAGCAACGATGATGACCCGGATGGCCAAAACATTACTGAGCACACGAGGGGTGAATAGACAGAGAAGTGAGGGGCACTAATATGAATAAATCATGGCCATCCAGCGAAAATAGATACAGTGGTGTGAGCTGTTTTCAAAGTGACCCCAGGCTGGGACCACCTCCCCAGCTTGCAATAGATTCCCGGTGCAGGCCCTCCTGGGGAGTAAGCTAAAATCAAACACTCAAACTCTCTGCCATCGAGTTGATGCCGACTCACAGTGACCCTGAAGGACAGGGTAGAACTGCCTCTGAGAGCTTCTGCGACTGTAAGCTCTTTATGGTAATAGAAAGCCCTCTTTTCTCCCATGGAATGACTGGTGGGCTCAAATTGCAGACCTTGCAGATCACAGTCCAACGCCACAACACTGAACCATTACAGCAACAGGGCTCCTCTCGGGAAGAAGGGCAGTGTAATTGAACTCCACAAACTTAAAAAAAAACCACACTGCTATCCTTTTAGGGATCATCTTCCTACTGGGATTAGTCACATGCAAGTTTGAAGGGGCTGTTGAGTGTAACTATAGCGACATCTACAACCTTAACTCTAGTCCATTCTCAACCTGTGGGTCATGACCCCACTGTGGGTTGAATGACCCTTTCACAGGGGTCACCTAAGACCATAATAACAAAGGTTTTAGGAACCGAGACACTGCTCCTGTCTGTCTCCAGGTGGGTCCACCCACATGCAGATACGCCCACATGTGGGGTCACCACCATTTGAGGAACTGTATTAAAGGGTCACAGCATTAGGTAGGTTGAAAACCACTGCTCTAGTCCTTTCCCCTAAGGGGCCAGAATACTGAAGCACTGAAGACTAGTTTGCCAGATCCTCCCAGGGGGTAGGTCATAGGGTACAAAGGACACAGGAGATTATTGGCACTTCCAGGCAAAGGGCATTTCTCCTCTGTGCAAGATACTTGAATTCTTATGGTCTTCTGTGACCCTTGAATTAATAACTAGTAGTCACTGGGGAGCATGACAATGTTGTCCACTCCCAAAAGATTTACAGGCTCGGAAAACCACAGGAGCAGTTCTACCCTGCCCAATAGGATCACAATGAGTCAGATTTGACTCAATGGTAGTGAATAGGTTTTTAATTTTTCCCAGTCACCAAAAGGGGCGAGGCTTTCTTTCTCTCAGATGTCAGGGCGGAGTGAAATGAATGTCCTCCAGTCACACACTTACAACCATTACTATGACCTTTGTAAAATGTGTTTT